GATAATTTTTTTTTTTTCTCCTATTTTTTGTGGAGATGAGGTCCCACTATGTGGCTCGGGCTGGACTTGAACTCCTGGCCTCACACGATCCTCCCAAAGTACTAGGATTATGGACACAAGCCACCATGCCAGGCCTGAATGGATGATATCTCAGTAAACATGTTAAAATTTTTTTCATTATTTTTGAATAAAGATGGTTTTACTTCTTTCCAGTTTTTAATGCATTTTATTTCTTTCATTTGCCTTCATGCAATGGATTAGAAATCCATTATAATGTTAAATGTGAGTGGTAAAAGTGAACATCCTTGCCTTCTTCCTGATCTTAGGAAGGGAAACAATCAATCTTTCATCTATAAAATATGTTAGTTGAAGCATTTTCACAGAAACCCTTTAGCAGGCCGAGGGAATTCTCTTCCTCATTTGCTGGTAGTTAATCCTCATCATTATGTTGAATTCTGTAAATTTTTTTCTGTATCTGTTGAGGCAATCATATTTTTCTCCTTTTTTATCTTAATTTGGTGAGTTGTATTGCTTTTTTTTTTTTTTGGATGTTAAATCAGCCTTGCATTCCTAAGACTGATGATGTATTATTTTACATACGTCTTCAGTCATTATGTATTATTTTTATATATTGCTTGATTGAATTTGTTAGTGTTAAGGATTTTTTTGTCTGTGCTGCTAAGGGACATTGGTCTGTAATTTTCTTCTCTTATCAGGTTTTGATGTCAGGGTTATGTGACATAATTAAATAAACTGCAAGGTGTTCCCTCCTCCTCAGTCTACCAAAAGAGGAAAATGTAACATTTGTATAGCTTCTTCCTTAAATGTTTGAGTGACTTTGTCACTGAATCCATTTGGGCCTGGAGTTTTCTTTGTAGGAAATGTTTCATACAATTTAATGTCTCCGTATCAGGCTATTCAGATTTTTCTGTTTCTTTTTGTGTCAGTTTTGGTAGTTTGTGTATTTCAAGGATTCTGTCCACTTCATCTAAGTTGTTGGATTTTTTGGCATAAAGTTGTTCATAACATTCTTTTCAAGGACCTGTAATGAAAGCCCCTGTTCTAATCCTGATATTTTAAATTTCTATATTCTATTTTTTGTTTATCTGGTTTGCTTGGGGTTTACAATTTATTCATCTTTTCACTTAACCAGCTTTTTACTTTGTTTTTCTCTTTGGTTGTTTGACTTTCCTCGTTTTCCTGCTCTGATCTTTATTATTTTGTTCCTTCTACTCACTTTGTTTAGATTATCAATTTTAAACTTTTCTCTTTTGTAATACATTGAAGCCCATAGGCTTCCCTCTAAACCTGGTTTTGTAACACAAATTTTGATGCATTTACATTTAAATTTTCATTCAGTTCCACATATTTTCTCATTTTCCTTGTAACTTATTCTTTAACCCATGGGTTTTTAGAAGTGTGCAGTTTCTATTTGGGGATTAAAAAAATACCCTGTTATTACTGATTTCTAATTCCTTTATAGTTAGAGCATGTACTCTGTAATAGTTCAGTCTTTTGAAACTTATTGGGATTTAACTATACTTAAGCATGTGATTTATCTTGGTAAACATTTCCCATGGACTTGAGAAGAGTTTTATTCTGGAATTATTGGATGTTGAGTTCTATAAATATCAGATGGACTTGCTTAATATTATTATTCTAATCCTTTATATCCTTTTTAATTTTTTTATCCAAGTTTGATATGGATTTGTTTATATCTCTAATACTGTTTTTGTTTTGTTTTTTGAAGCTCCATTGTTAGATATACATACATCTATAATTGTGTCTTTAACGATAAATTTAGCCTTTTATCATTACATAATTTCCCCCTTCTTTGTATTTGGTAGTACTTCTTAAAAAGTGGTTTTTAAAAATCCAATTATTAATACAGCCTCATAAACATTCTTATCCTCATTGCTTGACGTATCTTTTTGCATGCTTGACCTTCCAACCCATGTGCGTGTTTGTATTTCAAATGCATCCCTGTAGACATCATGGAATTGGGCCTTGCTTTATTCAGTCTGACAATTTTTCCTTTTCATTGGAGCGCTAGGGTCATGCAAACTTAATATAATTATCTGTGACTGGATTTAAGTCTGCCATCTTGCTATTTGTTTTCTATTTTTGTATCTTTTTTGTTCTTGTTTTCTTTTGGGTTCATCACATTTTTTTAGTATTCCATTTTATTTCCTCTATTGGCTTTTAATTTTACTTCTTTGGCTTTTGAATGATAGCTCTACAGGTTTCAGCATGTTTGTTTAACTTATCAGTCTGCTTAGCATTACCATGCAGCTTCATGTGAAATGTAAGGGTTGAATAAAAGTATGATCCCTCCCCCACCATCCTTATGCTATCCTTATATATTTTACTTCTACATATGTTATAAACCCCATGGTGCGATGTTATTTTAAGGAAATTAAGATATTTATTACATTTACCCATGTATTATCCATAGCTCATTCTTTTTTTTTTTTTTTAGGAGACAGTGTCTTGCTCTGTCGCCCCAGCTCCACTCATTTTTCCCACCTCAGCCTCCCAAGTAGCTGGGACTACAGGCACACCCCGTCACACCCAGCTAATACATACATACATATATATATGGGTTTTTTTGTTTTGTTTTGGTAGAGACGCAGTCTTGCTTGTTGTGCAGGCTGATCTCTAACTCCTGGCTGAAGCAATCCTCTCGCTTGGCCTCCCAGATTGCTAGGATTACAGGCGTGAGCCACCGCTGCTGGCCTAATGCTCTTTATCTCTTCCTGTACATCAGTGTTTTCATCTGGCATCACTTCCCTTCAGCCTGAAGAATGTTCTTTAGCCTTTCTTGTTGTGCAAGTCTGCCAGTGACCAGTTGTGCCAGCATTTTGCAAACATCTATGTATTTCTTTATTTCATCCTCATTTTTGAGAGATATTTGTGTTGGATATAGAATTCTGGGTTGACAAGGTTTTTTTTTTTTCCTCCTCAGCACCTT